GACAACGGCGCCAAAAACTAGATCACTCGAGCTAACCAAGTTAAAACTCGATTGTCAACTAATGCTACTCCAATCTAAGACAAGTATAACCTAGACTGACGATGTAGTAAAGGATTGACTTACGAGTTCGAATTCCACGGGTCCATGAATCTACTTCTACTTCAGAACTAATCTACTATCTAGCCTTACCAGGTTTTGGGGTAAAACTAACCTAATATACTCCTAAACAACCAAGAAAGTGGTTGGGAGATCGCTAGAGATGAGACGGTTGCCTATGGTCAAATCCTCCTAGCTATGATTGTCAAGTAGGGTTAAGCGAATATAGTGAGTGAGCTCTTTTCTGTGGGCTTTCGTTGTTATCCACACGCCTTCGAGTATGCCTCCCCTAAACCCATGTCAGTCACCTCAATCTAGGCTATTGTATCTGGGGTATTAAGAATATAACTCATTCCAATGGGTACTACCCACCGTCCATACCGATGTTTCATCCCGGGTTTTATCTAGGAAGACATTCTTGTGACAGGGGTATGATCTCCTCGTCTACCATAAGATCCTATTCATTCATCTAATCCTAATTTGCTTGATGGCGCATACCCGTCTAACCCTAAAACTCCATACCCAGCACAGAAGCTCAAGAAGGCTAGTATAAAAGATTAGGGCGACTTACCCAAACACAATTAAAGCTAGAGAAGAAATAAAATCAACTAGATAGTCAAAACCCATACATACACAACCTATAAACTAGGGTTCATCTTCTTTAAACAACCATTAGAGATTCAAGTCATACAGAGAGAAAGAAAACACAAACTAGAAGAGAGGGAGTGATGGAATCAATCTTCACCTTCTCCTTGCTCCTCGGGTGGATTGGATCTTCAATGAAGCTCTCCCTAGGTGTTTCCCTCTCTAAAGCACCCAAAACCCCCTAACTTTCTCACTCTAAGGCGGCTCTTCTTTGTCAAAAGCAGAAAATAGAGTATTTATAAGATGCTGGGAGTGGTCATGGCATCGACCGGACTAAGGGATTTAACCTGGTTGACAACCTTGGATCAAACCCATCAAATAGACGAGAAAGGCAAACAATTTTTTTTCCAAAAGATAAGCATATATTGATTGAAAAAGAGATCAATAACATTACACCCTTGTCTGAAGCGAGGTCCCAAAATCAAAGGATCGATATGGCGTCAGGAACAAAAAAAAAACATTTTTAGCCATCAAATGGACTACCTTATTACTATTCAGACCTACAAATCGTATATCAAATTCATTGTGCAGTACCAACATATGTGATACTTCCTAGAGAATGGCCCTGGCTAGGGGATGAGTTAGCATGGTTACTATTTTTTTTAGTAGTCACGGTGCCTACCAAAATCTATACCGTTTATTTTCCTTTTTCCCCTTCTTTTTTGAATTGATGGTCAAGATTGCTATAAGGATATATTTGGAAACCAAAAAAATAATATGTGATTATTCCTTTATAAAATATGATTTTCCATATATAGCTCTCTCCTCAAACCCTAACAGATCGTTTCATATCCTCTCTTTCATCGACTCACCCTCCGTTCGTCCCACCTCCCCCTATCTGCCGCCAAGCAGCTTGCGTCCCTCGCCTTCCTCCTCAGTCTCCCTCCGCCATTTAATTTGCAGAGCATGTAGGTGCTACCAATCAAAATGCTACCCCCTTCCCCCTCCCTCCATCTTCTTCATTTTCACATTGTCCCACTTCATCCCAAACAGGCTCCTTTATTTGCTAAGTGGGGCCTTCAATTGCCAAGCAGGACCCCTACTGTGTTCTTCGCCTCGAAACAGAACAAATGCGGTCCAATTTTCAGTGGTATTGATTTTATTTCTGAAATGATTTTGTTTTGTTTTCATAACAATGGTGGTATTGGTTCATATTGAAATGATATTGCTCTTTTAATATTGATTTTATCGTATTGGTATTGATTAATATGTATTGGTATTGCCGTATTGGTTACATATCGCAATGATATTGATTTTCTTGTAATGGTATTGTTTTTGTTAATATTTTTGTATGATTTGGTAGTGATTACTTGTTTATTCAATCTTCAGTGATATTGATTTATTTCTGAAATGATATTGCTTTGTTTTCATAATAATAGTGGTATTCGTTTTTTTTTTAACTAATTTCATTACGAGTACAAATGGGTCAAGCCTAGAGGAAAAATATACAAACAAACATTACAACACCACAAGCCAGAGCAACCCAGTTCAAAGCCCAATCCCGAAAAACAAACTGGAGACCCAATAGGGCTAGACACAGCCCCGACCCGAACTTAACTCTCCTAAACCTAGATACCAACGTTTGCCCATGGCGCCGCACTGCCATCGGCAGCTCACGAAGATCCTCCTCCCTACACCGAAAAGGGCAGACGATGACCAAACAATCACCAAGAAGTAGCGCCGGAAACCACCAACCCGGACGGAGGGCAGTGGAGACAACACGAGCCGCCACCAAAGAACCCTCCCCGGTCCAAACTCCATCAGTTCCCCAACTCCAAAATCCAACGCGACGGACTTTCGAGAGAAAGGGCGGCCGGTGACGAAACCCGAGGGTTCACTTTTGTCTTCATACACATCACTCCGAGTCCAAGCCGAGGCCACATCTCCGAAACACCGAGATCTGCAGGGTGAAGCAAGGAGGTGGACGAAGGGAGAAAAGCAGAGAAGACAAGCCGAAACAACACAGATCCGACCTCCTTTGCATCTTAGGACGACAACATCTCCAGATCTGAAAGATCAGAGGACACAAATAATCCCAACAACAGGGGAGAGAACAAATCCATAAACGGAAGAGGAAAAGCCAATAAAAGGCTAGAAACACCAGAAACAGAGTGATGCATGAAAAAAAAGGAACTGAAACACGAAAAGGAAAATGGAAGTGGTGAAATTGGAAAAAATAAAGGGGGCGGAGGGCTACCGCAGGTCGCTGAAGGAGCGCCGCTAGCAGCCCCCTTGGAAGCCTGGGATGAGTTTTCAGTGAGAAGGCAGAGGAAAGTTAAAGAGAGAACTTCCTTCTAGGCAGAATAGTGGTATTGGTTCATGTTGAAATGATATTGCTCTTTTTGTATTGATTTTATATTGGTATTGGTAAATCTGCAATGGTATTGGTTCATATCGCAATGGTATTGATTTCTTGCAGTGGTATTATTTTTTCCTAATATTTTTTTTATAATTTGGTAGTGATTACTTGTTTATTTTGTTAGTGGTATTGGTTCACACAGAAGAATCAAGAAGTTTACATAGAGGTGGCCGGGAAAAGAAAAAAATGGCTTCAAAACTAATGAAGTGAGAGAAAGAAATAAAGCTAATTGAGAGAGAGAAAATTATAATTAATATAATGTTTGTAACTTTTCATTTTTGTAATTTAATAAAAATAATAATTACCAAAGGTAAAATAGGCTAACGGTAAAGTTGCCGCGACAGTGAAGACTTGGGAGTTGCAGATCCCAGGTTCGAATTCAAACCAGACCCGTTGGTATTCCATGAGGTATGAGGTTGTTGTGGGCGAAGCCCCGTTGACGTCGAAATTGATTGCAGGTGACCCCAATTTTAGCAGAACCCGCTGTCACAAAGTGGCACGTGGTGCTAAGATTCCTGAATAATAATAAAAAAAAAATTAATAAATATTATTTTTCATACTCAATTTGTCCTTAATAATCACAATGAGTACTAAGAATTAGTAATCACCATAACCCCTCTTCCAGCGTAGTTGTCCCGCTTATCCACCTCGAGAAAGGCAAACTATTAAGTTTCTACAAGGTTGTCGACCCGCGGGTCGACCCGGGTTAGCCCGGACCCGCCCTAAAAACGGGCCATATTAACCCATTTTACAATCAGCCCGGATTTGGTCAAACCCTGCGAAACCCGGTCAAACCCGGGCGGTTAGCCTGTTAGAGCTGGTCAGTGGGTCGCTCGTCCTGACCACCGTTTTGGCTACTGCGGCGCCGTTTCCGCTGGGAGAAGGCGGTCAGGAGATTTGCGGCGCCGTTTTGCTGGGAGATGGCGAGAACGAGAAGCAGAACAAGGTCGGGAAAACCCTACGCCTTTGACCTCGTCCTTGTCTCCCGCTCCAGCAGCCGCTCGCCATCGCTAGGCCAGGGTTCTTCGGCGGTGCGCGTTTGGTTGCCGGCGGAGAGAGTCTGCCTCGAGCTCGGGCGCCATCTCCCTCCACCTCCACCGCTCGGTCTCTCCTGCCTCGAGCTCGGCCGCCTCTGCCTCCACCGCTCGGTCTCACCTGCCTCAAGCTCGACCTCCTCTGCCTCACCGCTCGAAATCCCCTGCCTCGAGCTCGGTCGCCTCTGCCTCCACTCCATCTCTGGTGTCCTCCAGTCGAGCTTGGCCTTCTCTGGTGTCTTCTAGTCGAGCTCGGTCATCCATCTCTGGTTGGCAGCTCGGCCTTCCACCCTTCTCCTTGCCGATCGACGGTTCTCACTCTGCAATTCAAACTCATTTGCTAAGGGGCAGGAATTGTTGGGTTTGGGACTTGGTTCAACTAAAAGGAAAAGAACGAGAATTGTGATGTTTTTATTTTAGATGAGTTTGGTTTCGTTTGTTTGATGTTTAAGATGTTAGGAAGAAGTTGTTTGGTAAAGGATTGTTTGATGTTTATGTGTAAGAAGAATTTTAAATTGGTTTCTTCCTTTCATATAGCTATGGTTTGATACAATTTTGTGATTTTCTATGTTGGATTCATGATTAATATAATATAATGACTCTTTCTATATTTTCGGGTTAAACCGAGCGAGCTAAAACGGGTGACCCATGACCCACTAGCTCGACCTGGTCCGGATTGATCCGCGGTTTGACAACCTTGAATTTCTTGGAATCGAAAGAAAACGTGGGCCTACTGCTCTTCTTCTTTAATAGGTTAACTGGTTGGACGACCGCCCCAGCCCCCAAGTCCAAAGAGCAGGGCCCCTGCAGCGGCGTTTATTGCTTGCGTCAGAACAATAAACACTGATTGCTTTAACCCTTTTTCTTTTCCTTTTCTATTCCCGTTCAAAAAGTGAATGGCTTTTCCTGCTCTTCTTTGTTTGTCTGGTCAATTCAATCCAATGTTTTCGTAGATTTTATTTATCCTTTCTTCGGTGTATCCAAGAGAAGAATTAAATCTCTTTGGTAACAATTGGTCGGGTTCGATTTTTGTCCTCCCCACATTCGCAACCACCCCGGCGCGATCCTTTCTCTTCTGCAGCAGAAAGCATGGTGGATAATGATAATCATAACAGTAATGGGAACAAGAGTAGTAACCACAAGAAGAAGAAGACGAAGACCAAGCGTGGAGGTAGCAAGAGGAAGATGAGCGCGGAGCAGTGCGTGGCGTTCAAGGCGGTGGCGGAATGGGTTTGTTTGAATCAACGGCCGCCTTACCTTTCCACAGCTGCTTCCTGCCTGGTGGATGATTTTGGGGTGCAGAAGAGCTCGGGGAGAGGTGGGGGTAGAATTGTATTCGATTTGCACTGTCATTCTAACCACAGTGATGGCTTCTTATCCCCTTCTAAGCTCCTAGAGAGGGCTCATGGAAATGGGGTGAGCATTTTTCCTTCTTGTTTTTATGTTCTCTTCTTCAGCCATTGCTTTGCCATTTTCAAATCCTTGTCTTTCTTGTTTTGCTGATATGAAATGGGTTTTTGTTCCTTTTCCATTCCATTCATATGGGTATTTTCTGGGTGCTGGTATATGATGTAATTCACGAAGAAAGAGTCTGGTGAGGGAAACAAATGTTTTTTGATAGGTTGCTTAGTATTCTGTCATTGGGCCATTCAATCTGCCGAAATCTTTGGCCTGATCGGAAACCATGGCTATTGGCTGTTGGAAATTTGTTTTAATTAGTAAAAATCTGTCCATCCATAACAGGTGAAAGTTCTTGCTCTCACAGATCATGATACCTTGTCTGGGATCCCTGAAGCCATTGAAGCAGCTGGAAGATTTGGCATCAAGATAATCCCAGGTGTTGAAATCAGCACAATATTCTCTCCAAGGTAATCTGACTTGCTACTCTTCCTCAAATGCCGGCCTCTCTCTACTTGGAGCAAATGGTTGTCGGTGTTTTATAGATCATACAGGCTGGGTTGAGTACCAGAGACTGTCTTCTATAGTTCCCCTGATGATTAACCTTTTGGTCTTTACACTTGTGTAGTGGGAACCATGAATTGGAAGAACCAGTCCACATCCTTGCATACTACAGCAGCTGTGGACCTTCAAGGGTAGAAGAATTGGATAAGGTGTTGTCTAATATAAGGGATGGCCGCTTCTTGCGTGCCAAAGAGATGGTCTTGAAGCTTAATCACCTCAAGCTTCCTCTCAAATGGGAGCATGTTGCTAGGATTGCAGGCAAAGGAGTTGCTCCTGGTAGGCTTCATGTTGCTCGAGCTATGGTCGAAGCAGGTTATGTAGAGAACCTGAAACAGGCTTTTTCCAGATATCTACATGATGGTGGACCTGCTTACTCAACGTATGTAAAGTTTTGGCTTGTCTACTGCAGCCCTCATATTGGAAATATATATATGCATCGTGCTGAAAATTGCTCTATCTATTTTGAGGCAGCGGGAATGAGCCTCGCTCAGAAGAAGCAGTCCAACTTATACATGACACTGGGGGCATTTCAGTGTTGGCTCATCCATGGGCATTAAAGGATCCAGTCGCAGTAGTGAGAACCTTAAAAAGTGCTGGCCTTCACGGGATTGAGGTTTTCAGAAGTGATGGTAGACTGTCTGGTATGCTTCTTAGTGAAAATTATTTCTGCTATCCCGTGTTGTTCAGTCATCAAATGCTGTGATTGTGTGCCTATCTATTGAATACCAATCAGTTTTCTCACAAGAAAGTGCGATTGATGTTGATAATGTAGGCTAATATGCTTAATTTTGTTGTTTATTGTGTCTTTGCCTCTTTTTAACATTCACTCAAAGCCTGAAATCTTGAACCAGCCATGTTCTTGCAAAATGCAGTGTACAGCGACTTGGCAGATTCTTACGGGCTTCTGAAGCTTGGGGGCTCTGATTTCCATGGCAGGGGAGGGAAGAGCGAGTCGGAAGTTGGAAGCGTCAATCTCCCTGTAATGGTGCTACACGACTTCCTCAAAGCTGCACGGCCAATCTGGTGTGATGCCATAGCGGGCATTCTTCAGATGTATGCTGATGATCCATCTGAAACAAATCTGGCAAGAATTACAAGGTTTTGGAGAATGAGGCAATCGAAAGATAGTATTATTGGAACTGGGGGCAAGGACATGATTGATCATTGCTTATCATTGTGGTTAACAGCTGAAGAGAGGCAGCAGAGTGCCGCCGGGTTTGAGGCCATTAGAGGAAAGTTATCAAGTGTTTCAATCACTTAGTGTTTACTGTGGCCTGCTTTCTTCCTTTGAGGATTCAGTGAGACTTGCAAAAACAACACCAGATAGAACACAATTTTGTGCGACATTTTGCTGCACTGATGTCTTGGACCAAGTTTGTGTACATGACTGGGTGTCCAATTTAGCTCGGCTGCATTTTCCCCTTCTTTCTGGAAAGGCGATTACAGAGGAACGATTTCAAGAAAATTATGTAAGCGAACTTTTCAAAAGCTAGCTTATGCTAGGCGGCTTTGGTAGATCATAATTGCATAAAAGTTGCTTTGTCTATGAGACGCACCACTTGGGCTTGAGAGCAATACAACGATGTCTTTGTTTTTTTTTTTTTTTTTTTTTTTGTAAGGCACCTAAATGCCTTTGTTTGTCTTTAATAGTTGGGCTACTTACTGGGCTAATCGCCCAAGTAATTGTATTTCTAAGGCTCAATCACAGTAGAAATAACTACTCGTCCTGAGCATATGTTGTCGATCACCAGCTCACGAGCATGCACAGGAAAGATAACAAGAACACTTGGTTAATAAATTTAGCAGTTTGTTTCCAAACTAAATGAACTAGATACTGCTTCATGCAGTCTTTATTATATAGGGGATTCATTGGCGTAAGCGATGCGTGAGATCGTTGCCGTATGTAGGATTTTGCTACATGCATGAAAATATCATAAGGATGCACAGAATGGGAGCAAACATATTATTCCATTCGTGAACAACATAGTCACATACACCGCTGCCGCAAGCGTCACTGGCGCCGCTGAGTCGGGAGACAGGGCTGAAGGTAGTGAAGGGGGAATCCGGCGAGAGGCTCGACCACGAAGATGGCGCACGTGTTGCACTATACACCGTCGACCAGCGTGACGGATAGCTCCACTCGCCGTCGAGATCCCAACCTCACCAGCGACGGTCGGATTCGAACGTTAAACAATTTAGTAACTCAGTAACTAAACTTGCAATTTACTCAAAATTGACTACATTATCAAGTTTGATGTATTGTTAAGGTGACATTTTTTTATCAAGAGAAAAATTCATAATAGAAACACAATATATTCTATTAACCCTAACATGAAACAAATAGTTGATTTCTTCTTTAGACCCGTTAGACCCAACAATAAATTACCGTTTACCCCTTCTACCAGAATAAAAGTGTTCTCTGAAATAATACAACACGTTGTGGAAGGTGGGAATCAACTATTTTGGTGCACCATCCTTGCCAAAGTAACTAACCCTCGATCCAACAGCATACAGGGGAGGAAGGAAAAGGACTAAAGAACGAAGGAAATCATCTGAACTTGCCAATTTCCACCTTTTTCTTGATTGCCTTTTTGCCATGGTAGACAAATGAGTCGACTATCCCTGCCACGGTGAAGATACCTGTGCCAAACACGATTCATCAATCTAACCAGAAGTTCTAAAACTCTACACAGGCCCACTTTCCGGCACTCACGAAAACCAACTGGAGCACTTGTGAATTAGAGATGATTATTAGACATGTTTAGATCTTACCTCCTATTACTGCACAGATATTGGTCAAGAAGTGTAAAAACGAAATGTGCTCCTCTTTATAGACGACCTGCACCATGATACGTGATACCCATAACGCATGAGTTACCTCGTTACTCTAAGGTTAACGCTGTCAACGTGTGGTTAGATTATGAACAACGACAGGAAAGCTAGAACGATGTGAGTGGAACAGCAGCCCACCTTGATAGGAGACAGTTCATAGAAGAAGAATACTCCGGGGAAAGAGTTGGCACGGATGAAGTCTACATGCCTCATATGCTCCGTAACAGAATACTGCATTCAGAGTTCATTCAGGTAATTCTGACCAGGTGATGATGTAAACTCAGATGAGCATGATTGAGAAGAAACTTATCAGTCTAGGGGAACCTACAACAGTTACCTGATTCGAGCGTATAGTGTGCCCTCTGGTGTTGGTGTATACTGTTGGAACCACCTGCAATAACGAGATGATGATAATTATCTCGTCCATTCCACACTGAAAGACATGCAACAACATGGGTAACATCACCCTACAAGTGTCTTCAACACATGCAGAGACAGATTGCTTTCAGAAAATGCATGCAACACTCAATAATGTCCTACCAAGTTCATTCATTATTCTTACTGAAGGCCAACTCCAAACAATATTTCTGCCGCGACTGCCTCACCCTAAAGGCGACGAAGCTACAGAAACTACTTTTGCAAGGAGCCCAACAATGTGGGTACAGAATAATTCGATAGGTTAAATCTTGAATGATAGCAAATTTGTTTTGGTCAACCAAGTTATCTCTAAATGGTGTCAAAAGGGTTTCTTTTATTTGTTGGTTGATGTTGAAATGAGCATATTGTTCACCAATCAGCAGTTACAACTAGGTGATGGTGCTATTGCACATAGAATAAACATCTTCCTTCATCATAACAACAATTACCAGTATCTCTATAGACTATAGGGTTTCGTTACACAAACCTTGATGAAATACTGATGCATGCCATTTGGAGAGTCATGCGTCCACTGTACCCTGAGAAGTCAGACTTTCAAAAATCAAGATGCTGAGAATGGAGAGGTAAATAATCAAACTCCTAACCCCTGGGTTTAGAAGGACCCGGGACCCCAGCGTGTCATTCCTTTCAATTTTTTTCCAAAAAGGTATAAAAATAAAAACTAGACGGTTCTGCATTATATGCATTTAACTGCACAACTAAGGAGAACCCAACTTAAGGCTGATAATGATATTACCTGTCAAGGGGGTTGACTACACCAGGAAAATAGTCTCCAAAAGCAAGGCTATTGATACTGTGACTCACCTACATGATTCACAAGAACAAATACACATGAGGAAAAGTACGGTAACAGTTTGTTCAGTCACGAGGATTTTCTGTTGTTATCAGCATGTCTTACATTATAACTATCCTTTTCAAAGGCCAGTAAATCGTGGATAAAAATATTAGACTGATGGAAACTTTTCCCAGGTATGAAGTGAAAATTCCCTGCTACTTTGTTCACTTCCAAAGACCCATGAATATTGCATCCTTCACCTACTTCCTCCTTGACCTGCTGGATAAATCCTTCCCTTTTGCACTGGAATGGGGAAAAAGTCATTAAATATACTAAAAAACGTGAGAGCAATTAATACCAAACTGGGAATCTGGTCTGTCCTAATTACACCCGCCACTTTTATCTAGTTGATGACAGCAAGAAACTATTCCGAATACTTTTAACGGATAGTTTGGTTCATGGAATGTTGAAATTCATGGAATGCGTATAATTCATCCACACGACCTGTATATAACAACGATCAAAAGGTACTAGCAACATGGAGTAATGATATCGATAATAGAGTACCCAAGTGACCTCTACAGCAAAATTCTATTCCAAGAAGTTGGACTAACACCTCGCAATAAGAAATGTCCTTATTTAGCAGAAGCCAGTATCATCCATGAAAGATTTTACTGAAAAAAAGTCAACCACAGTCCATTATTCCCTTCTATTTGACATACCAGAGAGTCAGTCTAAGTTTAGAAATAAAAGAAACCTAGTTCAACAGGCTAAACCTCAATAGGCTAAGAGACCACTAACTCACCACCATGAGATGATTTTTATGACGTTAAGATTCAGCTGGATTACTACAAAGAAGCAGCTATTTGTTCAGTCTTGACTGTGTTGTAAACATCTAGAGACCAAACTTAGCTCATTCCTTTTGTGAAACGTTGCTCGTCTCTCATGCTCTCAGCCATGCTCTTCTTTCCAACAGTCTGAAACCCCAGAAATAAACACATGGGGAAAATATGTCCAGTATAGCTTATAGTATAATGGTGATGGGAAGGCACCTAGTAGTAGTTTTCTGCACTCACTGAATCCCTCTTCACTTCATTCTGATAGCTTAGTCGCATATCGATAATTCAATCCGTACCAAAATCAATTTCATACTCGAATCATGAAGCCTAAGAGATACAAGATATACACTGAGACCTGCCCGTTAGACTCTTCACTAATCTTGGAAAGACTCATAGGAGAGACTCATTGCCGGATCACGAAGTTATCCAGCAAGATACTAGGGAACTTATAGTAGCACAGATGATACAAGCTTTTTGGCAAAAGGAGAAGATATGTCAAGTAACCTACATGCAGTTTTCATGTAATGTACATTTACATTCAAGCCATTGAAATGAAAGTAAAGTACATTTACTGTAAACCTAACCTGGTCAAGCATATCTGCATTTGTAAGTGCCCATCCTTTTTTCCTGTATGCTTCTTGAACTTCTTCACATGTGTTACAACAATGATCATCTGCCTGCATTAGGAGATGAGGAAATAAATAACCAAGGAGTATGCGAGATGAGAAAATTTTAGGGTATCTCTTCAATTAGCACAAATGTAGCCAAATCGACAAAAAAATTCAAGGAAAATGAACAGATAAATCAGTTGATAAAGGGATTCATATGCTTCAGGTTTTCTTATTACAATTTACTACTTCATATAGCAGTAGCTATCGAATTGTGAGGCTTTCTTTTTCTACAGACAATCTCCAGCAAGAGAAAGAAAGAGCAATATAATCATGGCAGTAGTATAAAACCCCAGTGAACTCCTGAAATCTTAAAACTTTTACCATCTGAATCAATGAACAGTAGAATGGGCAGCATAAGTGAGTTTATCTGATTCTACTCAAGTTTGATGATTAAATTGATTAACAAGTAACGTCGAGTAGATATTAAAAATGGATAGCATCCATATCTAGCTATTGGAAGAACTTCATCTTTTGCCATACAAGTTCTTGTCTTTTTTTTTCTTTTCTTCCTGTGTTTAGAAGATGGATAATTGAATGTGCTCGTAGCTAGATATAGATGACATTTACTAAAACAATCAAGTAACATTATATTTTTATATGAATAATGATATTTCAAATATTGAGTACATGTACTTGTCACTTAACAGGAAGTTTTGTGCTTATACTCACATTGTAAGGTCAGATTAAGAAACTATAATTGCTTATCAGAAAGTTTCAACTATGATTCTTGAAACTTAACAATTCTATGGTTTGAGTTCAAATGTTCCAATTTTACATACGTCAATTTTATAGTTTGACTACCTTGCATATAACATAATCATAATCTTACTGTATCTGCGCCGTAACATGAGCCACAATAAGTTTCACCATGTTCAAGTCTGGCACCATGCTTCTGCAAGGGCTTCTCAATCTGTGTGAAACAAACCAAGATGGTACAAACATCAATTAATATAAGAACAAAGATCTGAACTTACACAAGAGTATGCTCCGGGGAAAGTGTCTGTTTAAGAGAAGAGAAGTACGAGAATTTGACTGACCGTTGGTGCACCAATGCCACTCTGCTTGGCTTCAATAACATGACCATGGGCATTAATTCGTTTCTTGGTTATATCATGCCTCTGAAATAACAAGAAAAGCAAAAAACATTTATTTAACAATGATTCAGAAGTCGGTTTAAGGAAACTCCAAGGCTCCCCCCCCCCCCAGTGAAGTATACAGCAATCCACTCAATCAAACAAAAGTATAGCTGTGATTTCTCCAACCCCTAACAAACAGAACCAGGTTAAAACTGAATCCTAAAGCCACCACACCTTGGGTTCAAACTTCGAGGAAAACATCGTCTGCATAAGAAAAGAAGCAGCATTTGTGCCTCACAGAGAGAAAAATCAATGGACTATGTCATCATACGCAAGTCCCGAGTTCTTACATGTTAACGATTCATGAATACTGTTGTGAAAATGTTCAGTGCAGAACTCATGGCAACAGATATTACTTATGAAGGAACAACTTCATTATCTTTTTGCTACCCTAATCTATGAGTTGTGTGATGTTTAAGGTTTTACCGTTTTAGTATGACCATGTAACTAATCTTATAGTTTACAGTTGGCCCTGTAACATCAATCACATGTAATATATTGCCGGAAGCCAATGAACAATTCAATGGGGAAAATGAGAACACCAAAGGAAGAGGGAAACTTGAAGGCCAGGAATTCAAATGCAAGCAAACATACGATGTCAAAATGTTTTTCTCCGCTTATATCCATGGCATCAAGGCTGAGCAGCGAGCACGGAATGGCTGGGAAGGTAACATCAAACTGCACAGCAAGAGTACATGCATGTATCAGAGTAATTAATTATTCAGAAACCCTCAATAATGCCGAACTAGAATTGTTCGGGAACATTTGAAGATCGAATACAAGAAACACTATGTGAAGATAATCAAAATGCTCTCTATCAGATACCATAACACAGGAACAAAAAGTGAGATTGAAGATTTTACATTGATCCGCAGTGTCTCGCCCCTTGCCGTATCAACCAGAAGCTTCGTCTCAGTTACCGTATGTAGGTACAACCCTTGACAGAGGTGAACAAGAAAAAGAGGAACTCTTCAAACAATTATACACGAAAGAGAACAGAGAGCCGTAGATCTCCATGAAGATTAGTCATAGAAAATGCTTCGTCAAAAACTTAGTTATAATCAGCTAATAATAGCATTTGCCGAGTTGAAGAACGACAATAGAAAGAGAAAAGAAAAAGGAACATTGGAATAGGACCCGGAGAACACAAAACGAATTTAGGTGACTACAATAATCAATCGGTGGAACCCTAGACTAGAAATACAAAGAACTGAATTCCCCATGACTAAGAACTCAGAGCAGATGCAGAGGAGACTTACTGAACTCGGAGATGAAGAGGAAAAACATGACAAGAGAAGAAACGAGGGTAATAACGCCGCCAGAGAGTGTCCGGCTGTAGAAATCCTCGTTAATCTTTGGATAAGCGTCGAAATTCCGGAGCTTTTGTATCATTGCATCCATGGCTACCGGCGGCGAGAAAACAGGCGAAATTTTTTTAGAGTATATATAAGGCACGAGGAGAAGAAAGAGAGCTCGTTCCCCTCCCTTTACCGTTAGGAGGACGGAGGGGTTAGCTCTGCATTAAATTTAGAGGCGGCGATATCGTGGCGGAGGCCGGCGGCGACGGCGGCGACTACGAGGGGAGAGAGAGGAGACGGAAGAGATAGTCAAATTGAGTCCCAATCCGATGTGGGAATGGAAGTTAACGTCAAACATTTCCCAAACTATTAGCAATGGAGTCCCAATCCGATCCGAGGGAGACGAGACAAGACACGCTATTTTCTCCTCTTGCCCTACTTTTCCCTTTTTCTCCGGTAAATTACATATGTGGTAATATGAATTATCAAAAAAATTCACATTAACTACCCAAATTTTCCCCCTTAATTATTAGTCATTTGCTTTAATATCGTTTCATAATTAATCACTGTACTTCCAAATCAGTTAAATAAATCCTATGTGGCAATCAACTGTAAGAGTTGATCATAAAATAGATGACGTGCCAGTTAAAAAAATAAAAAAATAAATTTAAATTTCTACTTTATTGCCACACCTTACTTTCTTTTTTTCATTTTCAATATTAACTATTTTAATTAGATAAAGATATTAACTTATTATAAAATTGTGGCCCCTTCTTCCCCTCCCCTGTCCCACCGACCCTCCATCACCGGAACTCTGGTGAGCACTCCCAAATCGAGCAGTTCACTTTCCCTCTCTCGATCGATCGTTTCTCATGAAAACCTGAGGCAACAGCCATAGCCCAGTGTGGCCGAGGAAGAGGAAATAAAGATACCTATCTCCGGAGAAGGCAGCGGAGAGCGCTTCTCTCAAGCTGAGTTCGTTCATCAACAAAGAGCTTTTGGGAGCATGCGGTTCTATCGTTACCAACCTTAACAATGTTGTGCATCATCGATTTGGATGTCCAATCTCCTCTTTTCTCTTTGATCCCCTACCTATCCATCATCTCCGCCCGATATTTCCTTACCCCTTCCTCATCACCATTCTACCTCCTCCCTATCAACTTTCGGTTTTGTCCCTCCCGGTCGTTTTCAAATCCTTTGAGTGAAAGAAGTTGCGGAAGCTCCGAAAGGGAGGCAATTCCACTTCTTTCAAGTCGCCTAATTTTCGTGGTAGTTTTGATCTCCACCCCGACCGCCTTCTCACCCTTCCCTCTTGGCTCCCTATTTGATTCCTCACTTGACGAGGTTATCTTGGGAAGGTAGTGATGGCAATTGGGCGGGGGCAGGTACCTCAATACCCATGCTCAGATGCTCTGTCCCATGCTACTACGGGTCGGGGCAGGTAATACCCGCGCGGGTACGGGCGGGGAGGGTCAACCCACTATTACATGTTATTTGAAAATAATACATCCAAAATACACATACCCCGCCCCATGCTACTGCGGGTCGGGTAATAGTCGCCCAATCGCGGGTCAGGTCGGGTAATACCCGGTTGGCGGGTTCAAATTGCCATCCCTATGGGAAGGTTGTGAGTGAAGGCTACCATATTCGTGTAACTTGAGGGATTTGGATCGTTGGGAAGAGATTCTGGTGGTGGAGGGTCAGGGAAAGAGATGAGGAGAAGGAGTTAGAATTTTATAGGATAATTGCAAGGTTAGTTAGTGAAAATTGTTACTAAAAAAATCACGTTTGTCACTAAAAGTATTTTTCCATTCACGATCACTGAAAGTAGTTAAATGTTTCACTTTTGGTCACTTTTCGTTAGTCTATGTCAGTCTTCCTTAACAACGTTAGTATTTTGCTGACATAGCTAACAGAAATGTTGATTCACTCATTTTTAACCTCTCACATCAGACCCTCTGCATAACCCAACACAAATCAACCCCTAAACCAACCCGACTCAACCCCACTGACTCGCTAAAACCAACACAACCAAACTACGACCAAGTGTAATCGTAGTCTAGCAATGCAGTATAGTGGTTCAGGTTCTAATTGTCAACCCGGGTCCTAGGTACACTAACTAGTCAGTGCAAATCTATTATCTAGCAGTTGAAATCGAGTGAAGTGTTCAAAAGCAAAGTAAACAGAAAGCAAGTAACAGTTGTTTTCAAATTAAGAAGGCTCCCTCAGGTATGAGTCCTCCTAGATTGCAGTTAAGCCAAGTTGTAGTTCACCTAAGTCAATTCAATTGATTCTCAAACTTCGAAAAGTTCTCAAACCATCAAGAGTCTCGACTAAAGTGCTCCTGACCCTCTCAGTTCGAATACCAGGCGGGCGACTAGCCTCCACCGGTATAAGCTAACTGAGGCAATAAGATTTAAACTTCCTCTACCGGGTTCTATACGAGTATAGAGCAGTGAATCGAATCCTCGACTAAAGTAGTCGATTCACTACTTCTGATTCAGGATGCTCTATCAACCTATGCATAGACTATCATTCTAGTTCAAAGCATGAATTGCAAGAATTTGATCCAGATTCAAACAATTCTGAATCAATGCCTCAATTGGATAAAAGATAATCATCATTCATGACAAAGGGTTCATGCAACTCTTCCTAACATACAATCTAGGGTTCTTACATACCCAAGTGAAAGAGGGGATTACTCCATACAGAGAGTGGAAAGTAAAGCTAGATGTGGAAATCATCATGTAGACGAAAGAAATCTGCTCTGGGTCATCAATCGTCACCCCTTGAGGCTTGAATCGAGTCCAATGGTGGGGAGACTTGATTTAGGGCACTCAAGGGTCACTCTTCATCACTTTCTCTCTTCAAATTTTAAAAGTATATTTTCAGCTCCAAAATTGAATCCTCTTCTCAAACACCTGAAATTGGGATTAAAACCAACATCTACTTGATTGCATGGTAGGTGCACGGTCGTGCAACTCCATCATTCCGCCCTTGCAAGTCAAAATGCGTCGTATCATTAAGGCTCTTCCATCATTCGTGCACGGGCATGACACGGTGACTCGCCAATATCGTCACACTAGAAAGTGGCCAAGTTTTACCACAAACTTATGCGTAGTATAGAGGGTTTAGCTTTATTTATCAATCCGGGTCCTAGATGTGATGACTACTCCGTGAAGTTCTTGTTATCTAGCCATTCAAGTGTAGTGAAGTTGTACTAATATAAGCAAACTCAAAGCAGTAAAGTTGTGATTCAAGTTCGAGAGAGGTCACCCAGAAATGGTACCCCCTAGATTGCAGTTAAGCCGAGTTGTAATTCACCAAGTCTAGATACCATGATAGTTATACTGCGGAAGGTTCTTATTCAGTCTGAAGTCTCAAGTAAAGGTCTTCAGACCCTCCTAGTCTAAATACCCGGCGGGCGACTAACCTCCACCGGAGTAAACGAATTGAGGCCCTAATGTGCAAAATCTCCTCTACTGGATTAAATCCAGTACATGCAGGGAATTGACTTCTCGACTAAAGTAGTGCTCTATCAAGCTATGCAGATATTCTCTTTCTAAGTCAAATCAGAAACTACAAGAATATGATCAAGATTCATGCAATTCAGAAATCATGCCTCAATTGAATATAATCAGTATCACAAGATCATATACTTGGGTTCATACAACCAACCTAACATACAAATCTAGGATTCTTCATACCCAGGTGAGAGAGAGAGTTTACTCCATAGAGGGTGAGAAGAGAAATCAGCTTCATATGCAAAAATCATCATGTGGAGGATGAAAATCAGCTTCTGGCTGTCAATCTGTGCTTCTCAAGGCTGCAATCGAGCTCCAATGGTGTCAAAGCTCAATCTAGGTCACCTTGGAGGTTGGGTTCGTCACTTTCTCTCTCTAAAACTCTGCTTCCAGCTCTAAAACTTGAATCCCCTTCTCAAAGAGCCTAAATTGGGTTAAAACCCATATTTGCCCGATTACACAGCTAGACCACACAGCCGTGTAGAAATCCAGTCTGCCCGTGTAACTTCCAAAACACGGCGTTTCACTTAGTTGGTCGAGGGAAGTCACACGGCCGTGTGGAATTCAGCCTTGCCCGTGTAACTCTCCTAGAAAACCCACACGGCCAAAGGGTTACTTTGCACAGCCAGTACTGGTATGGTTGAGTGATTCTAGTTACACGGCCATACTACACGGCCGTGTAAAATCGGCTCTAGCCCGCGGACGGCCACATCGCACGGTCGCGTAAAATCTTGAGCAAGCTGCGTAAAATCATCAGCTTTCCGTCGAACGTCCTAACGTCGTCCAATCGACCCCGAACTCGTTCTCAAACCTTCATTCACGTACTAGGACGTGAAATATCACCAACAAGAACAACCTAGCGTGAAATTGGTTTAAAACACGAGAAACGAGCCTCACATAGTATAAGAATGATGGACAAAACTTGTGCAAATATCGACTCATCAAATCCCCTCACACTTAACCGTTTGCTTGTCCACAAGCAAATATGGCTCAAACCAATGCAACTTTCCAGACCTCCATAGCAACATGCGACCTCGGTCGTCGGCAGAGGACTTCCTAGATCATTTAGCAGCTTACGAGGTCAATCAACGTACAAGACACCCCCTAGCTTCTTCGGCGAGAAATCTAGTCCCGAGTCGGGATCATGCCAAGTAGTTATCGGAGGACAAATGATTCGTTGACAAATACTCTCAAAAACAGAAAAATCATGGACTCACTTTTTTTAGGTGCTCTATTTTTTTCTTTAAAGATGGTTGAAACCCCCTTTCTTCTTCTTTTTCTTCTTGTTCCCCCCCCCCCCTTTTTCAAGGGTTCCAACCTGTTCCCCCCCCCCCCCCCCCAAGAAAACAAGGCTCCCACCTAGCATAGGTTTTGAGGGAGACGAGTGCTTACCGGCCATGCCGGGAGTAGATTTCTTAAGCCTCGTACAAGGGAAAGAGGTGTAAGGGGGCTGGAGGTAGTAGGTGGAAGCTGGGAACGGATTCTCGTCTCCCCTTACACCCTTTCACCGATTTCCACAAGCGATGCATTATTTTAAAAGCACAATCTAGAGCATTTTTTTCAAAACATGATACAGGAGTACATGACAGGGAGAGAGTCATCGATACCGCACGATTCAAGCGTCCTAAGATCACTAATTCACACAATCAACCAACACAATATGAAAAAGAAATGAGACTTCTTAATTGCATCAACATCCTCCATAGTGCTACACTACCTCCATAGGTTTCATATTACTGTAAATTCAAATCATATTGAGCAGGCGATTGCAAGGAACACATACTTGGAGCCCTCAAATCGAAATTTGGACAGTGGACTAGGCTCCAAGACAAGCAAAACAAAATCACTCATCACACCCAAATACAATAGAACACACCGCACACTTAAGATCGACATAAACATATGTTACCGGGAAAATGACGATAGGAG